CGCGTCCCCGGCCCCTCCCGAAGGCCACCCCAGCCCCATCCCCGGTGGGCTCCGGCCCCCAGGCCGCTGCTCTGCCCTCGCAGCCCCGCTGCCCCCCGCGTCCCGGGGCCGCCCAACCCTGGCCCTTTACCCGAGGGGCCTCCCGCGCCGCTGCCGGCTCCGTGGTTGCTGGCGGCGGCGCCAGCTGGGGGTGGCGGCGACTGGGCCGGGCCCCGCAGGAAGGACGGCACGAACTCGGCGGCGTGGACGTTGGGCACGAAGGGCTTGGCGTTGACGTTGAGTTGCCGGCTGAAGGCCGCGCTGAGGTGCTCATGCTGGGCCTCGGCCGCCGCCGCCGCCAAGGGGCCGCCGGCGCCGCCGCACGGGCCCGGCCCGGGGGCTTCCATGTCCGCCTGGTCCCAGCAGTCGGGCGCCGAGTCGCTGCTGCTGCTGCCGTTGCTGCTCCCGCCGCCGCCGCCACCGCCGCCGCCGCCGCCACTGCCTGGATCCATGATCGGGGGGGCCGTGTGTGTGGTGAAGAGAGGGCGGGAAATGGAGGCGGGGGCGACGGGCCGGGGAAGAGCAGGCCGCGCTGACCCAGAGAAGGCGGCGAGGCAGAAGGCTCGGGGGGCTAGCGACACAGTCCCCGGCGTCGACGCGGCGGCAGCTGCAGTCCCCACTCCGCACTCGCGGCGACGACGACGGCGGCGGCGGCGACTCAACCCTCCTCGTGTGTGCGAGCGGATCTCCTCCCACCCAACCCCAACCACCTCCGACTGCCTCAGCGCCAACCCCACGCCCGGCGTGGATTGACCTCTCGCCGCCACCCGTACCTTCGCCTCGGTAGTTCTCGGCCCTGTCTATCCCGGTTTCCGGCTATGATGCGCGGCAGAGGACAGAACTACAGGTTCCGGCAGCGCCCGCGCGACTCCGCTGCGGTTTTCCCGGGGGCCGACGGGAGTCGGAGTTCGGGGGCCAGGAGCAACCGGAAGCGGCTCGGGCTCCCGGCAGGCAGCGCGAGGAGGCGGAGGTCCGGTGGCCGCTCGGCGGCCCCACCTGTCACCGGGTGGGGGCAGGGATGGGGGCAAGCCCTGGCAGGACTCGGCGCCGGGCCGCGGACCGCGAGTCGTTCAGTCCATGGGGGTGGTCCACTCCGTCCTGTTATGCACAGGATGCTAGGAAACGGACAGCAGTTCCCACGGGGACAAACAGCTCTCAACTCCTGAGAATTCCTTCCTTCCCTTTTCACCAGCCTCTGCATTCTCCGCCTCACAGTCTCCCTACCTTGTTCTCTTTCTTTCCACCTTCCTTCTCCCTGCCCCCAGCTAGATTTTGCCCTACATTTTAAAGCCGACTCAGAGCGTCTTTCATTTTATATATTCATTTGGTGAAAGAGACAATAAAACCGTGAGACATGACAACTTAAACTGCAGTGTGGCTCATAAAGCGCCCGGGCCCAGCCTCTGCCCCGGCACAGGGGATTATTAACTGGAAACTCGCAATGACTCACGTCTGTTTGACTAGTCATTTTAAAGCCTTCACCCAAACTTTTCCATCCCTTCCTCCTCCTGGCCAAGGGCTTAGCAAATTACACAGAGGATTGCCATATTCCATGATGTAGCCAACTGTTCCCAACCAATAGGGTTATTTTGCTGCGTCCAGCTTCTTTATGCGCTATTAAGTGGTTTTCTTTTGAATGGTCGGGTGTGCTTAAGTGTTCCCAGTATTCCCTTCGTACATACTTTATTGACTGCATCTCACGCTGACAGGTTGCGTTTAGGTAAACACGGGAAGAGAAAAAAAAAGCAAGAGAAATACTTAGGGTCAACTGCATGAAGTAGGAAAATAACGTTGCTCTGAGCACCGGTTAAGTTTTCCTATAATTGACCCATATGGAGCCCACGATAGAGAAAAACATATTGTTGATCTTTTTCTGCAAGCAGTCTAGACAGAGCAGCTAACCTGCTAGAAATTACAGAGTAAAGGCATGAACACACAGAGAATAGATGTTTCTTAATAACCTGTTAAGGTCTAAAATCTACATCTAGATGTGAAGTTTGATTTTAAACATTTATATTTTAAAAATGAAAGAGAACTCAGGCTAATGAGACAGGTCAAACACAAAGCTGTCAGTTACCTTTTAAAACAAGTCCTATGCTAAAGTGATTTGAAATTGTGTTTAATATTAAACTAGCAAATATTATGTATGCTTTTTTTCTTTAACACATAACACTTGCGAAATTGAGAGCTATAAATGTAAAGAAACCAGAGACCTCCATTATAATAAGGCTGGCTTTAAGTTTCTCATCAGGTCTGTGGTCCATGCTCCCTGAAATCTTCTGGGCATTGATTTTTTTTTTTTTTTCCCATGGTAGATGATGTATTCCTCTGATTAATACAAAGTTCTGGTGGCAGCCTATTAATTAAAACTATTAATATAGTTTTCTGAAGACCCAACTGAATCTTTCTTAAGAGTGTCCCACTTTAAAGTTGATATTAAGTGATTGCCCTCATATTGAGAGAGAACTTATTGACAATTGGTATATATAGGAAACCTGCATTGCTATTGAATGAGATAAATATTTTTATCTTATAGTCACAACAAGAAGAAAATACAATATGTCTGAAATAAAGAACCTTCTCACTCAAGATTTGTACTCCCCAACCTGCTTCTAAGAAATGTCCACATGAGCAGCTGACTCAAATAGTGAACCACACTGTCCTTCTCCAACTACTTTGTCACTGGATACCATACTTGAAGATGGATCACCCGTGGGGCGCTGGATGATCACACTCTGATAGGTTAGTTCTTCACATCTAATTAAATTAGCAGAGTTTCTTTGTGCGTGGCGCTTTTTCTAGGAACAAAGACAGAAACTGCTAAGGCTGCGGCTTAGAAAAGCAGTTGATGTCATTAACTTCCAAGTCCCTGAATAGGATAATTATGGATATTCAGGAAAGAATCCACTCCACTGGTTTTCAAAAGCATTGACCTGCCAAGGGTGAGGCACTTTCCAAGTGAGAAGCTCTTCTTGATAATTACTGTTGTGCTAAGACTGAGCAACTTGAGGTCGAGGTCTTTTCTTCATCTTCTTTATATTCCCAATGCCCAATATAATGCCTGGCATAGAAAACGTGCTTAATAAATGTTTAATGGATGAATGGATGAATCAATGGGGAGTTTGGGACCATACTGCCCTTTTATACTCATTTAGGGCTGTTGAGACACAGGACTATCAACTTTAAGAAAGAGTTTTTCCAAGGACATCCTGCTATTCACTGCGGTGCACACACAGGGTTAGCTTGACAACAGCTTTACTTTGAAAAGCTATGCTTGTTCAAGGTCTGAGCCATTTCACAACAGATAATTCCCATCTTCCGATGCAAATTCCACCAGCTGGCGTTCCTAGTAGTCCCTCTCTTGTTCTCTGCAGTCTTCCCACCCTCCCTTAGTTATTCTGCCTTGAAACTGAATCAGGGTCTTAGCATTTGCACCTTTTAATCAACTACACAGTACTTTGTTTTGTTTTTTTTAATCTAAGAGTTTATCCTTTATGCTTCCAAATAGGAGGTTGATATGAAAACTCACTGCTCTCCCAGGTGAAAATGCATGCACACAAATGCACACTGATGTAGCAGTCCCACACCTGGAAATGTTTTCTACAGAAATATGAGCACAAGTGTGAAAAGCTGTCCTTCCCAGCATTTTTGCAGCAGCTCCAAACCTGAAACAACCTAAATGTCCATCAACAGGGAAATGGTTAAATAAGCGATGGTATATCCATATTATGAAATAATATGCCGCTATTAAAAAGAGTGAAACGGTAGGTGCCAACACGGGAATACATTTATAATATGTGGTAAAGTAGGGGAAAGCAATATATCTAGTATGTGTAGAATATATAGTGGGTCAATGTATCTAGTACAATCCTACTTCTTTAAAACGATCTAGCTTTTTCCTCTCTCTGGAATGCTCTTTCCCTCGATCTTCACCTCTGTAGCTTGTTGTCACTCAGTTCAGATGTTGTGTCCTCAGCTCAGAGGACTCTCCTAGCCACCCTGGCCCTCCACCGACCCACATCCCTCTCTACCCTCTTACCTAGTTTTGTTTTTTCACAGCACTTATCATGGTCTGAAATTCTTGTTCACTCCCATGCTTACTGCCCATCTCCTCCTACCTGAAAATTAATTCCATTATTTATGTGCTTTATTCGCTGATAAAATTCATCCTGATCACCTACAACACTGTCTGGCATGGATAAAGTGCTCAGTAAACATTTGGGAGAGAAAGAAACATATGTATCTCTTTGTATGTTATAAAACATCTAAAAGTGTGGACAGATACATATTAAACAGTTAATGGAAGTTCTATTGGTGGGATGGGATTGGATGTGGAGAGGAGAGCAGCTGGAAGGAGAAGAAATTGCAATTTTTTACTTTATGTTTTTATGGATTGGATTTTCCTACAACAAGCAAATTGCTTTGTTTAAAAAAAAATTTTATTGAGGTGAAATTCACGTAACATAAAATTAACCATTTCAAAGGGAACAATTCAGTGGTATTTAGTGCATTCTCAGTGTTATGCAACCACCACCTTTATCTAGTTCCAAAACATTTTCATCATGACAGGAGGAAACTCATTACAGTTGTGGGAACAGTTTCCATTCCCATGGGAACATGCTCCCCATTCTCCCCCTTGCTCCTGGTAACCACCAGTCTCCTTTCCATCTCTAGGATTTACCTATTCTGGTCATTTTATAGAAATGGAATCACACAATATATAACTGTTTATGTCTGACATCTTTCACTTAGCATAATATTTTCAAGGTTCACCTATGTTGTGGCATGTATCAGTTTGTTAGTGCCTGTGGAGTCGATTCCAACTCCTACAGACCCCGTGTACAGCAGAGCAGAACCCTGCCTGGTCTTTTTGCACTGCACTCTCACCTTCTGGCGCTCTATCAGACAATGCTCTACTGCTATTCATATGGTTTTCATGGTCAATTTTTTCAGGAGTGGTCAGTTCCTTCTTCCTAGCTGTCTAGTCTAGAAGACTCCACTGAAACCTGTCTACCATGGGTGACACTGCTGCTATTTGAAATACTGGTGGCATAGCTTTCAGCATCATAGCAACATGCAGTCACCACAGTATGACAACCAATAGATGGGGGTGGCGGGGTGGGGCAAGGGGGTGTTTCCTGACCAGGACATGAACCAGGGTCATGGAGGTGAGAGCACCAAATCTTAACCACTAGACCACCAGGGCTGGCTATGTGTCAGTACTTCATTCCTTTTTATGGCCAAATAATATTCCATTGTGTGGATGTACCACTTCTTGTTTATCCATTCATTAGTTGCTGAGAAAATTGCTTTTGTAATTTGAAGACATTAAAAATAAAAGAAAGATTAAACAGGTGAAATCCTAGTAAGGTGTAGAGTCTACTTAATTGTATTGTGGCAATGTCAGTTTCCGGGTATTGATAGTGTACTATAGTTATGTAAGATGTTACCATGGGGGGAAGCTGGGTGATGGGTAACATGGGACCTCTTGTGATATTTTTGCAATTTCTTGTGAGTCTATAATTATTTCAAAAAATGTTAAAAGGTTAAAACTCTCATACTAACAAAAAGCCATGTTTTCTGAACTCTTAGAGCCCACTTGTAATTATACAGACTTGAGCCTCAGTTCCCAAGTCTTTACTGAAAGATTTTTTTCTGCCCTCCTTTTTTTTT